CTGTCTCAAATAAATAAATAAATAAATCTTAAAAAAAAAAAAAGTACTCAGAGAGGGGCGCCTGGGTGGCTCAGTCGGTTAAGTGACTGCCTTAGATCCTGGAGTCCTGGGATCGAGTCCCGCATGAGCAGGGAGTCTGCTTCTCCCTCTGACCCTCCCCCCCTCACGTGCTATCTCATTCTCTCTCTCAAATAAATAAATAAAATCTTAAAAAAAAAAGCACTCAGAGAAATCTGCACCAGAATCATTATTACAGCACCGACTCTACCTGCAGGAACATGGAAACACTCCTAACACACACATTAATCCTCGCTAATACCCACCTGTTTAAGAGCTTATGAGGCAAAAATATAAGAAAAAATTCTGGGGGTGCCTGGGCGTCTCAGTCGGTTAAGTGTCCGCCTGCCTTCGGCTCGGGTCGGGATCCCAGGGTCCTGGGGTCAAGCTCCGCGTCTGGACTCCCCACTCAACAGAGTGTGTGCTTCTCCCTTTCCCCCTGCTTCTCCCCCTGCTCAAGCTCTCTCTGTCTCTCTCTCAAATAAGTAAATAAACTCTTTAAAAAAAATATTTTGTAACCTATAGAAAGAATGACGTAATATCTAGCAGTATGCAAAGACATCCACGACAGTTAAGTAAAAAGAGCCAGTTGTAGAACAATATGCGAAGTATAATATACATTTTCTTTTTAAAATAGGCTTATATACACATAGGAATTTTTTGGAAGGACATATGACCAACAGATGACGGTAGCTATTTAAGGAAAGGGAACTTTACTGCAGATTTCGAGTCTCTATATTTTGGCACCACATGAATTTTACAAGTAGTGTGTCCGTGTGTGTGTTAATCAGAAAATAAGACCAAAGAGGAGGGGGTAAAATAAGTTCCAGATTGTGGGCTTCTGTGGAGGATGCATGGGGAAATGACCCCACCAACCTCCACCCCATTTACAACACGGAGGTCCACTCTCCCCTCTGGCACACAGTGGCCACGAGGACTCCCAGGACTGCCTTATGAAAAATGAAACCATCATGTTATGACTTCATTCACAGTGCAACAAGCAGATCTCTCTGCCTCATTCTTTCTTGATTTTTTTCTAATACTGACTTCCGTTTCCACTCCCTTTGTTCAAAGTTCAGCACCGCTCAACAGCATTTTTGACATGTGGAGTTACCACCAGCCCCCACTCCAAATCTAACCAAAACCCCATTTTCTTTCTTGTCATTTCATGCACGTCCCTATTTTTAGTCAATCTATTCTTTGCCATTACTAAGAGAACTAAGTGTTCCGTTTGACTCGGTTTTCCGACGTTGGCAGGCTCATGGTTTTCCCGCTATCACACAAAATGCACTCTTTCTCTTGACCTTCTACTTTGACCACCAATTAAGTAACCAACTCTATCTAAATAATCCTTCCAGTTGCTCCATTTCCTGGAGCAAAGACCAGTTCTTCAGAAAGAGAAAGAACTCTTTTTAACCTAGTTTTCACTTGAACCCCACTGCTGCCTTTTACTTATCATTTCTGATCTTCTAGCACTGCACTCCAACTGTCCAATAAAGGGAGCCACTAACCACAAGTGGCTGATCCAAACTGAAATGTCCTGTGAGTATAAAATATAAACTACACGGATTTTTGAAGACTTTGAATGAAAAAAAAAAGGCAAAATATCTCAATATAATTTATACTGATTACATGTTAAAATAATATTTTTATATAGTGGGTTAAATAAAATAAGTGACAAAATTAATTTCACCTGCTTTGTTTACTTGAACGGGGTGACTAAAATTTGTTGTCTTGTTTTGTTTTGCTTACTGACCTAGCCTATTCCCCAAAGGAGTGATCCGCAAAGAGACTTCTCCCTCCTCAGGTTTGAGCTGAGTCCTTCTTTCGGGAAACTGCTTCCTCCGGGGCCCCCACCCTTGCCGTCTCAATGGAGCCTCCATCTTCTTGAATACCCCACCTCCTGACCAATCAAAGTCCCTTCTCGGGATTTAAAAACTTGGCACTTCATGGATTGTTTGGCTGGATTTCAGGTTCTGGGTTAGAAATCATTTTCCTTCAGAATTTTGAGAGTATTGCTGCAGTGTCTTCTACCTTCCAGTATTGCTATTTCAAAACCCTGAAGTCACTCTTTCTTTTTTTTTTTTTTAAGAGTTTATTTATTTATTTGACAGAAGGAACACAAGCAGCGGGGAGTGGGAGAGGGAGAAGCAGGATTCCCGCCAAGCAGGGAGCCCGATACGGGGCTCGATTCCAGGACCCTGGGATCATGACCTGAGCCGAAGACAGACGCTTAACGACTGAGCCACCCAGGTGCCCCTAGTCACTCTGTTTCTTAATCCTTTCCTTGGATGTGACCGTTGTTCTCACTCTAGAAACTTGTAGGTCCCTTCTCCTGGCTCTCGGTGCCCTTGAAGCCGCTGTCTCGGCCCCTGCAGCCAATTTAGTAGTCTTAGCAAGCACTTTTAGCCCACGTGATGGATTAACTAAACCCTTCTTTGTTTATCTAGGATGATGCATTGCATTGTTTCCTAGAAAGACTCCAGACCAAACCCTCTTGCACAACCTCATCCCCGCCCCGCCACCCCCCCAGCCCGCCCCACGCAGCAATACACAACCTCTGAGCACCAGGATAATGTGTGTAGCTGGCAATGCTGAGTTGCATGCAATCAAGAAGGGTTAAAGACCACTGTCCTCCCCTTTTACTGATTAACTGCCCTAAAGTTTCTGTAAAAATCTTCGGGGCAGGCAGAAACCTCAGGGTTGGTTTTTGGACAAGAGTCCGCCTTCTCCCTCACAATCCCGGACTTCAAGCCCTATTACAAAGCTGTCATCATCAAGACAGTATGGTACTGGCACAAAAACAGACACACAGATCAATGGAACAGAATAGAGAAC